GGGCACATCCCAGGCGGCGCGCGGGGAGGCCGGCCGGGCGGCGGGCTCACCTCTCATTGTCCGCGGCGGAGGTGGCGGCGGCGGCGGCGGCGGCGGCGGCGGCGGCGGCGGCGGCGGCGACTTCTTCCTAGTGCTGCTTGACCCGGTGGGTGGCGACGTGGAGACTGGGGTCACCGGTCGCGACGAAGGGCCCGCTTGGAGGGAACAGACCGAGGCAGACCTGGGGCCCCACGGGGAAGAGAACGACCTGAAGCCTGCGGGCCGCCCTGCGCTGAGCCCCCGCTGCCTGCCCGCGGTCCCAGTCCAGGCCCCGGGCCCCGCCCCAGGCCCCGGCCCAGGCCCCACGGCGGCCTTCTCAGGCACGGTCACTGTCCACAACCAGGATCTGCTTGTGCGCTTTGAGAACGGCGTCCTCACCCTTACCACGCCCCCGCTGCCGGTCTGGGAGCCAGGGGTCGCGCCCTTCCAGCAGGCTGGGGGCCTCATGGCCCCGCCGCCCGGGTTCCCGCACGCGGTGCAGCTAGGTGATTGCCCAGAGCTGCCGCCCGACCTCCTGCTGGCCGAGCCGGCCGAACCTGTGGCAGCCCCTGCGCCAGAGGAGGAGGCTGAGGGCCAGGCCTCGGCCCAGAGCCCCCGCGGGCCCGTGTGCCCCGGCCCGGGCGTGGTGTTCTACCTCTGCCCTGAGCCGCAGTGCGGACAAACTTTTGCCAAGAAGCACCAGCTGAAGGTGCACCTGCTGACTCACAGCAGCAGTCAGGGCCAGCGCCCCTTCAAGTGTCCTCTGGGCGGCTGTGGCTGGACCTTCACGACGTCTTACAAGCTCAAGAGACACCTGCAGTCTCATGACAAACTGCGGCCGTTCAGCTGCCCAGTGGAAGGCTGTGGCAAGAGCTTCACCACCGTGTACAACCTCAAGGCGCACATGAAGGGCCACGAGCAGGAGAACTCCTTCAAATGTGAGGTGTGTGAGGAGAGCTTCCCCACCCAGGCCAAGCTCAGCGCCCACCAACGCAGTCACTTCGAGCCAGAGAGACCCTACCAGTGTGCGTTTTCGGGCTGCAAGAAGACGTTTATCACAGTGAGTGCCCTGTTTTCCCATAACCGCGCCCATTTCAGGGAACAGGAACTCTTCGCCTGCTCTTTCCCTGGCTGCAGCAAACAGTATGACAAGGCTTGCAGGCTAAAAATTCACCTGCGGAGCCACACGGGCGAGAGACCTTTCCTGTGCGACTTTGATGGCTGTGGCTGGAACTTCACCAGCATGTCTAAACTCTTAAGGCACAAAAGGAAGCACGAGGATGACCGGAGGTTCACGTGCCCCGTCGAAGGGTGTGGGAAGTCCTTCACCAGGGCTGAGCATCTGAAAGGCCACAGCATCACCCACCTGGGCACAAAACCTTTTGTGTGTCCTGTGGAAGGCTGCTGTGCCAGGTTCTCCGCCCGAAGTAGTCTCTACATCCACTCCAAGAAACACCTGCAGGATGTGGACACCTGGAAAAGCCGTTGCCCTGTCTCCACCTGTAATAAACTCTTCACATCCAAGCACAGCATGAAGACCCACATGGCCAAGAGACACAACCTGGGTCATGATCTTTTAGCTCAGCTAGAAGCTGCAAATTCCCTTACGCCCAGCAGTGAACTTACCAGCCAGGGACAGAATGATCTCAGTGAGGCAGAGATCGTGTCTCTCTTCTCTGATGTGACTGGCAATGGTTCTGCTGCAGTGCTGGACACAGCGCTGGTGAATTCTGGAATCTTGACTATTGATGTGGCTTCTGTCAGCTCGACTCTGGCAGGGCATCTGCCAGCCAGTAACAGTAATTCCTTAGGGCAGGCTGTGGACCCTCGGGCCTTGATGGCCACCAGTGACCTTCCTCAAAGTGTGGATACCTCTCTCTTTTTTGGCACACCACCCACCGGCCCTCAGCAGAGTCCCTTAGATGTGGACAATGTCTCCAGTGTAAGTGTGGGGCCACTGGGGTCTCTAGGCTCTTTGGCTGTGAAAAACTCCAGACCAGAGCCCCAGCCCCAGGCTTTGACACCCAGCAATAAGCTAACAGTGGATGCAGATGCTCTGACTCCTTCCAGTACCCTCTGTGAAAACAGTGTCTCAGAGCTGCTGACACCAACCAAAGCGGATTGGAATGTACATCCTGACCCTGACTTCTTTGGACAGGAGGAAGAAACCCAGTTTGGTTTCTCCAGTCCAGCAAGAAAGCGCGCTTCTCAGAAAGAAACGGATCTTATCACAGTGACTGGCAGCTCATTCTTGCTATGATCTGACTCTGTTTGCTCCTTGCCATGTGGCTTACTTGTACTACACTCAATTTCGAGGGTACTCGGGACTGAATGCTTATACGCAGTCATTTCCCCTAAAAGGTTTGCAAAACAGCGCATTCCTGGACTACAAGTTTGGAGATTTAAATTCTGATCTTGAGTCTGGGAATGACACATTCTGTGACCCTGAACAAGTCACTTCACCTGTCTGAGCCTTAATTTCTTTATGTATAAAAAGATGTAGCTTGGATTGTTTCCAAGGTCTCTTCAACTTTGTCTGCTTATGTTTCTTTTCTTGAAAAATACTGAGACATTTCATTGATTATATTTTTAAATGATGTTATGTTTTAATGAATATCTGTGTTCTGTGCACCTGAGTTCAATAATTATTATTGCCCAATATGCAGTCATGTTTTAAAGTTTCCTTTGTCGCAAGAATAATAGTTGTACCATTTTTAATATTTATTATCTCAGTCTTACTTTTTTGTGTGTCCGTTCATCTTTCATCTTCCTTGCATTTCATTCATTGAAAAGATTAGTTTATTGTATGTGTCATCCACCACAGCTAAAACCTGGTAAGTTTTTCGTTTTGCAGTATTGCTCACTTTGTTTTATCTTTTCTCAAATTAATAGTTTTAGAGGTTTTATCCGATTGTGAAATTATTTTTATCATATTCCATAAAGTATATTGTGTTCTTTCATGAGGTGCCTGGTAATGTATTCCTTTCTCTTTGCTGTTGTGTTATAAACAGATTTTGGTCAACACATTAATTTGTAATTACATTTGCTTCCACTATTATGAATTCTTATGGAATTACTCATAGTTATGGGAGTAAGAAATGTTCTTTAAGACATTTTAATGGTTTAATAGAAACACTGTTCAGTGTGAAGATATTTTTCTGAAGTAGTAATAAAGCTAACAAGAAAATCTTAGCCAAATCTATGTTGGTTGTTTCCCCTGTTTATCTCCTAACCTCTTTTGTTATAGCAGCTATGTTTAAGAATGGGCATCCCAGTCTTTGATGAGAAACTAACCCAAGTTAAATTTGTGTTTTAGGGAATTGGACCACTAGCATTAAATAATTTAATCGCACTAAGCCACAATTTCCCACCTGATTATTACAGTGAATATACATACTTTATGTACCAGCTTAGTGTTTCTCTGCTCCAATTTACTGCGTAAGAGTAAAAATGTTATGTTTTGGTATATATTGATGATTTATGGTTTTTTTATGAGCAGAATATATTTATTGAGAGAAAGAAAGCTCCTGTCCCGAGAGAGGGACAGGAAGGTGGGGCCCGAGAGGGTAGTTTCCCCCTCCGATGATTTATGTTTTTACCCTCTTGGTCCTTCCTATTTTAAGAGAGAAATTGAGGTAACGTTACCCTATTCATGTACCAAAAATTAAGATTCAGAAGTGGTAGGGTAAAATAGAAAAACAAGTTCTTTTATCGTGATGTTGAATAATTTTCACTTCAAAATTTGTTTTAATTTCAGAAGTGGAAATATTGCCCACATTTTTATCTGCTGCCTCTCATTGGATCTGTTTTTCAATATCTTTGTTCTTTTTTTTGACAGGCTTCTCTTTTTGAAACACTTTTATTGGTGTTTGTGATGCATAGTATCTACATTAAGTTTGGAGAATTGGTATGTACACAAAATCATCATTTTACATCACCCCCTCACTCTCTGCTCTTCCTCCTTCCCCAGACTACATTCTCATCTCCACAATGTCTTATCTCCTTGTGCCTTATCATTTTGTTTTATTTTGCTGTTTAAATTATTTATATTTTGTGTCTCTCATTTTAGAGAAATAATGTAATACTTAATTTTGTGTGGCTGATTTATAACACTTAACATGGTCTCAAGATTATCCATTTTCCTTCAAAAAGGCTTCTCTATGACTGTAAAGCCTGTGTTTCCATAAAAATCTGATAATGGAGTAGAAGAAGTTCTTCTATCTGTGGTTTGTAGAGCTGACTTTCTACAGATTTCCAGTGCTGAAAGAAATAGACCCTGAGTACTACATAAACTTTCTATTAGTTGAGTATAGCATTTTCAGATTGTAGAATATCTTTACAACTTGTATCTTGTTTGTTCTTTAAAGTAAACACTTAAGAAATAGCTTTTGACATACTTGCCGTTTTTCATATTATAATTTGGCCAGCTCATATGCTAACTGAGTTTTGACTGTGACAGATAATTCTATATACAGCTTTAAAGAAGAGGAATTACTTTTACCTTGCTCATCACTCATACAACTTTCATCATTCATTCTTGTATCATAAATTATTGCTATTTTCGACTTTAGTTTCCTTTACCTTCTGCTCACTTTCTCCCTACTCCTCTGTCTCGCATGTACATTCCATTCCTTGGCACACTTTTCTCTTTTTAAAAATTTTGCTTTTTTAATGCATAGATCACTGTCCTATTATTTTTTACATTTTCCTCATTGTACATTTTCTTCTAATGCTGATATCTGTTGTGTATATATTTGGTTCTATGTGTACAGGAAGAAATTATTTTCTTAGTTTAGGTTATCGTATATGTATAATAATATATCATAGAAAAGATTATTTTCTATATTGTTGAAATGAGTAGTAGATTCTGTTTATTTCCATTTTTAAAAAAGTTTTTGCAAAGGAGTTCTTTTAATAATTGCTTATTTGCCCTGCTGTACTAGTCCAGTAGTGTTTACCTGTTATGTCTGTGGACAACAATTATTATAGCACTTTGGAAATGCACTGAAAATTTACTACTATGAAATGTTTCAACATTTTGAATGTCTTAATATATACACACACCTCCACATACATTCATATATATTTTTAAAGTGGTTGTATACATTTAGTGAAAAATAAAATATAGGCATTCTTTTTTATGTCACACAAATGCTAATTGTTTAACAGTTTGCTTTCTTTGCTTTTGGCTTATTCGTAATCATAAAATATATTTCAAAAGTGTTATTCATTAAAGCCTTTTAAATAGGCCATTTTTTCATGTCTCACAAATAAATATGTCAAGGACTGAGATAAATACGCAAGTCACTGGGGCCCAGGGAGACAGCTCAGTAGAATAAGCACTTCCCTGGCAAGCACAAGGGCTTGAGTTCAATCTCCGGTTCCACCAAAAATAAATAAATAAATAAATAAATAAATAAATAAGCAAGTCATGAAAACCAAATAACTTTATAAACGTGAGTATCACTTCATTTCGTTAATTCCTTAAAACTACTTCCTCCTAATCAGTGAAATATCTTATTTTTCCTACTTGAATTTGGAATTTTTGACAAAAAAAGATTTTGTCCACAGTTTCATTAAACAAAATTGTTCAAATTGTTTTTCCTTCAGTAGCATTTTGTTTTTAGCAAAATAGTGAATAACAGCTTTTTTTCAATGTAAGAAGTTTAATTTGTGTTGTTGATGTTCATTAATTCTTTTAAATAATGGTCGAGCTTTAACTGTATCCTCTTTATGATTTTTCAAGCATTGCTTGATTAAAAATCCTCACCAATTGAAAAAGCAGTTAACATGATGGCTTTTAAAAGTCAATGTCTAAAAGTTGCATTGATCAAGAATTTTATTTTTTTGCAGAGTTAAATTTCTCTTTAGCTATAAAAAAAAATAGCTGTCCAAATTGTGAGGTACAGTGAATGTAAAATTAAAATGATAGTACAAAATATTTATATATCTTTAGTATTTAATATTCATGACATGTCAAATACTATTTTACGAGGCTTTATTAAAGAATATATAGTACTGAAATTAGTTTTCACAGATTTCTTTTGTACTTATTTAATGTGGCTGCTAGAAAAAAGTTATTTTTTCCATTAAAAAAATTATTTTAATGTGTTTTGTACAGGGTCTCACTACACAGCTCCCCTGGAGTTACGGCCATGAGCCACCACACCCAGATTTGGTGGCCAGCTCTGCATAGGGCCAGCATGGCATGCTGTACAGGGGATTGAGCTGGGGTCCCTGTGTTTGCCTAGGCAGGTGCTTACACCACTGAGCTAGCTCTGTGGCTCCCATAATTTTAAATTAAATAAAAAGCTCTTATCACAATTTGAAATTTTTATA